GGAAGGGAATGTTTCACTGGCAGCCCGTTCACCAGCCACAGGCAGAGACATACTCACCTGGGGCATGAAATATTCAGGGAGGCTGGGAAGCATGCGATGGCACTTTGTATAAGGCAAGTTTGCTTAACCTTTAGAGCGGAGACTCCAGCATTTTAACTCCGCAGACGTGGGGTCTGTTAACATTTATCAGCTGTTGGGGCTGGACTCGCAGACATGGGAATGTGTGGGAGAGAGTCAGGCCTTGCCTATGCTAGAAGTTACCGTGTATTGCATTAACTGTACCAGTATGGTCAGAGCAGTACAACCCCAGGAACATGGACGGTGACGCTGGAATAGAGATGGTTACACCTATATAAAGGTGTTCAGATCAGGCCTTAGTTACGCACCACACCAGAAGGTGCTGCAAAAAGGAGCTAGAGAGGATAAACGTGCCATTTCTGGAATCAGCACCCCTCTGCCTGATCCCTCCAACCATTACATGGTACTTTGTTTCCCCTCAAGCTGCAATGCTGGACCTTTTCAACATCCTAGGAATGTCTGACTCTCAGGACACTGGCTTCCTGTTCTCCAACAGGCCGTCCATTGGGATATACGGGCAAAAATGTAAGCTTTGGCATTTTGATTCTTGTTATCGTTGGACGTGGCAGGACAGCACTTGGGCTCTGACTCTTGGATAAAGCCTGGAGGGAAAACGGGGAAGGCTAGCAGAAGGAAGAGCTTTCCTGAGCATAGTTTTATACAGAGCTTCACCCTGACAGAGACTTTGAGCTGCCCTTCGGCTCGCCTATCAGTTTGCAGATCTCCAGAATAGCTTATAACAGAGTTGGTTTTTAGACTGGTTTAAAAAAAGAAAAGCGGTCACTGGCACGTGGTGTGAACTCAGCCTGTAGATTGTGTTAAGAAACATTTCATCACACAGTTACTATTAATAGAGTTTGTTTCATGCCTTTTTAAAAACTGATTTTGGTTGGATTTAAACATTCCCTGTGCAGTGTTTGTAGGCTAAGCATTCCAGCACCGGCGATTCCTATAGACATATTACACCTTTCACCCCAGTAAGGCCCTGATCCTGTGCCATTTAATTGGGGATTGGTCCTGCTTTGAGCAGGGGGTTGGACTAGATGACCTCCTGAGGTCCCTGCCAACCCTGATATTCTATGATTAAAGTCAATGGGAGCTCTGCAATTGACTTCATTGTGTGTAGGATCAAGTCTTATCTGAGCACTAGCGTATGACAGCCAGGAAGCGAAATGGACTTGGGACAAAAGTGAACATGACAAGCCCAGGTTTGCTAGTGGAGACTGGGGGGAAAACTAAAGAATAGCACCAATAGCAAGAAGCAATTTGGGTTTTTGAAACTGTCCTTTTTAAACACGCCAGGAATTATTCATGACACCAGCAAGGATAATTCTGTGTGTTTTAACCACCTGGTGGTCCCTTTTAATGTAGCCATGTAAATACAGACAGCAGCCTAGCGCTCATAAACATCCCCTACCATAACAAGCCAATGGGGTGGGATGGCACAGCCAGAAATGCACTGAGGAAAATACTGTAGCATGAGCTCTTGACTGGGGCAGGAGGGTCACAACCAGGTTTCAGGGGATCAAGGCCAACATCTAACCATTTTCTGGCTAGATGGGAGGAAGTGTCCTGAAAAATTTCACACCCCTGAATGACATAGTTATACCGATATAGGTCTGTAGTGGAGACCTGGACAGAGTAGGGAGACTGCTGCTGGGAGCTGCAAATACAGTCAATATACACAAAGCGTACTGCTTAGGGTGAGCAAGGCATAGAGTGACCATCTAGAACATAGCTGCAGAAAATGAGACCTTTTTTTCCCTAATGGGACACCCCTACACACACAGCTACAATTTTATCAGCATCTGACCTTTATACAGTTGCTTAGAAACAGACTTTATAACCTGATCCGACACTCCCTGGCCACTCCTTATTGGGTACAGATAATGGGACATTAAGCACTACATAAGGGACATCTATTAACAGACAGGATGGGTGGTTATGCTAAAGGAAAGGCTGCATTGTAGCTGTTCCCAGAGCAAGTACGAGCAATGCCACTACAACTACATGCCCACATAGGGAATAATGAATGGTTTGGAGTTGGAATCCCCTCCTCCAACAGAATCATTTTTTCCTCATGCCTCACATGAGCAAAGCTTCCACCCCTTTGTTTGTTGGAAGATACACGTTGTCTGAAGTAGCGTTTCTTCTATGGCCATCTTGGCCAAGTAGCATCTCAAGGTTGCTCACGGCATTACCAGATCAGAAGAGCAAATGTCACCCGACTTCTGGGAGGAGGGCACGTGTTTGAAGGCAGAAAGCATTGTGCCGGATGAAAAGTTGCCCACGATCATCAGCTCACCATTCAGAGCCAGGGTTTGAGACCCAGGAGTGGAGGGAGCACTCGCAAGTTGCACAAGAGAACACAGGCCTTTTGAGCAGGCACTGTGGCGGTCAGATAGAGGGAAGAGATGGCCAAGAGACTGAAATGGCCCACAGCCCAAAAGCACCAGCTTTAATGGTGTCAGTGCACCACTGGAATGGAAGGTGTAGCACAGCTCCTTTGCAGCGGCCATCAGGGCTCTACATCTTGATCTCTAAGGCTCAGGCTCTGAAGCGTACAGACATGCGGAGAAGGAGAAGCACTGTTACACAAGAGCACTTGTAGGGCTGCTGTTTCTACTGTCCTCTGCCTTTCCAGCATCTCTGGGGATCCTCTCCGCTGCTGAAAGGGTGCAAGGGGAAAGGGACGTTTGGAAGCAGAGCTAGTTGAAACAGGGTTGATTTTTACCATGGAAGATTGAGAGAAGATGTACAATTTTCGTTTCATTTGAAATTTCTCACTTTTAATTAAACACATTGAAGTGTGTGGGGGGGGGAAATTGTTGCATTTTCAAAAATTCCATTTCACAGGGAAGTTCTTTTCATGCCTGCACGTCTTAAAACACAAAAACAACCCCCGCCCCAGCATTTCCTTTCCCTCCTCCCCCACTTTTTCAAGTTTTTTTGGAAACAAAAAGATGTTGCAAAAAAAAGTTCGACAACCACCCCATTTTCATCCAAAACAACAGTGTCAAATAGATGTGGACAGGTTCCTATTTGGCCGAGATCTCTTTTGTTCCTTCTCTCTCTGCCCACTCAATAATCCAATCAAACAAAGGCGGTGTCACCCTACAGGACCAAAATGCACCTGCACACTGGAATGAGCACACACACACACACACACGTGCACGGAGCTCTACGGCAAAACAGCCTGTGGTGCTGGAATGAAATAGTGGTCACTTGCCTTGAAGCTTCTTAATTGCTTTAATTTGCTCAGTCCCCCTAGTGATGGCACGTTTGTAAATGACAGAAGCGGGCTGCCGCCTGCAGCATTTCAATTTGTAGCAGTGACGGTTGCTACAGTGATGAGCTTGCAGCTTAAGGAGAGTGGGAGAGCTTTGGGGCTCTGTTGCAGGCACTTTCATTTGCGGCAGGGAGAGGGAAAGCACTCAGAGGTCAGGTGGGGCTCGATTCCTCAAGGTGCCAGGGACTCCCTGCAAACATTCTTAGCACAGATGCCAGAAAGCTTGCGGGTGCTCAGCGCTTCCCAGGATCAGATCCCTTCCAGAGCCAGAGGACGGAAGCCAGGTCTCAGGAGTCAAGATAGACTTTTTTTTAAAAATGCTTGCTCCTCCTCGGTGAGGGCCCTTCATTGCTGAAGCATGACACACGCCATCCCTTCCAAAACGCAACATGAAATATCATTCTGTTTCTAATTTGGGGATTGAAAATAACTTTCCATCCTCCCTTCCAAACGAAGCCATAAAGTCGTCACTCCAAAAAACCACTGAGAGGACGGCGTGAGAAGGGGGGGAAATGACAAGATAAAATTTAGTGGAAAATGGCGGGGGTGAGGTGGGGAAGGGGGGGGGGGAAGATGATTGCCACTGATCTGTAAATGATCCCAAGAAAAACCAGAACAGTTAAATATAAAGCAGTCTCAGTGAGCCTCTAGAATTAGACAGTTTAATCGTGGTCTTGGCATTTGCCTTTCCAGTCCCAGTGGGCAAACTTTGACCATAGATGGTGTTCTCATGCAAGGGGTTCAGATTGTCCCAGGGATTCTGCGTGCAAACTGGCCCATGATGAATCTCCCAAGTGCCTCGCAAGAGAAAAGAAAATGAGAGTCTGGAAGGATATGGGACCCTGATGTTACCAGTTCCTCCTCCTCTCCCAATCCTCCAACAGCCACAAAACTCGGTGCCATTTTCAGAGGGTTCTAACTTACCACTGCAATGGTGGGATTCCCCCGCCAAACACAGGTACCTGCCCCATGAGCAGAATAGGAAACAAACTAGTCTGGGTCACTCTTGACACGGACCCCTGAGTAGCATCATCTAAACTTGGAAGTCTCAAAACAAACCCAGAGCTCTGAAGGCTCAGGAGAATTTCTGGACATTAGGAAGGTGACATTCTATACCTTGGGGAAGTGTCCTGGAACCCCCATATTCCACATTTTCATATAATCATGATCTTACATATAAAGCATGCCTTATAAGGTATCAGGGGAAAGGGTCTGACCTGCTGAAAGTGATTTCTCTATCTATAGATGTGTATCATTAATGTATATGAAGTTATGAGAATTGTGTTGTATAGTGGTCATTAAAACAGGCTGTAAGTTGGGGAATCAGCCAGATATTAGCTCCCCAGAGGCAACAGCAAGGAAAGTAGCCAACACCCAGGCGGAGTGTCAATCAACCCATCAACAACCATTGTCCAGTCCAGCCAAGTATCAGGGGGTAGCCGTATTAGTCTGTATCCACAAAAACAACAAGGAGTCCGGCGGCACCTTAAAGACTAACAGATTTATTTGGGCATAAGCTTTCGTGGGTAAAAAAACCTCACACACCAGGGAAACTGCTCAACCTTGCCTGGAAACTCAGTAATGCACCCAGACATGCCCGGACTTGTGTTTGCCAAGCACATGGACTGAGGGTATAAAACAGACAGAGGCCACATGCTTGGCCTTTTCCCTTCACCCACCTACGCTGCAAGCAATAAGGACACTCTGAAAACTCCAGCTGAGGGGACTGGCCCAGGTTTCAAGGGTGAAATCTGTGTACTATGAACTGCAGTATCCAGTGGGGTGAGAAAAACTGCTTAATCTAGATGTTGCCCAGTCTAATAGGGTTGAAAGTTTAGACTGCGTGCTTATATTTTACTTTATTTTGGTAACTAACTGACTTTTTGCCTATCACTTAATATCTATTGCTTGTAGTCAATTAATTTGTTTAACTGTTTATCTTTACCAGTGAGTTTGCTTGAAGTGTGTGGCAAATCTGCTCAGGTTTTGCAAAGGCTGGTGTATATCCACTTTCCATTGATGAAGTGGTGAACCAATAAATAAGTCTGCATTGCTCACCTTAAGCAGTGCAAGACGGTATATTCCTGGGGTACAGTGCTGGGAGGATTTGGCTCTGGTGCCTTTCGCTGTGTGATTCATGAGTGGCTCTAGGAGCATTCATGCAATCTAGGGGAGTGTGGGGCTCCACATGCGGTTGGCTGAGTGATAATGCCTAGAGGGGTTTTCTACTGGTCACTAGCAAAGCATTGTGAGAAACAGCCCAGACTGGGAAGTTAAGGGCGCACAGTGGTCCCACAGTCCCAGGCTGCGCCCCGGGAGGATCCCATCACAAGGAAGCTAAAAAAAGGCTCAGTAAGTATCAGCTGCAGAATTGGAGACACCTCCCACCCTTAGGAGGTGCAGAATTAGGGCAGGAGAAGGGCACATGGAAATCAAACAGGAGAACTGGGAACCAAGGGCTTCTTACAGATGGATGCTTCCCCCAGACCAGTTGCTTAAAGAACCCCAAACTGTCCATTCATCCTGATGTCCCATGTGCACTCCCATGGGCAGAATTCAGCAGCTCCATGTAGCAATGAAGAAAATCTTTCAACGCTTTCTGTATTTTCCAGGACAGATGAGCCCAAGCTGCAGAATTCAGATCTGGATCCAAACTGTTCTGAAATCTGAGACTATGCAAACTCGGGGGTCTGATTTAGCTCACTGCAGAGATTGGGGGCAATCAGGAATTTCAGATTCAAGCTTCCCCAAAGCTCCAGGCTATCGAGATCCAGAGCTTCGGTTCTGACCCTAATTTTTGGATGGCAGTTTGACAACACAACGTATTTCAAAACACAGGGCAGGCCTACTCACGGGAAGCTTGGAAAAACCATTCTGTTGAGATGCATCTAGACCATATGTTCTGTATTTTTCTTCACTCATTTATGTAAGCAGGGATATTTGCATGAAAACAGGCTAACAGCACATTAGTCTGAGTAATATTTCCAAAGGGGCCTCTTTTGAGCCGCTAGAATTGCAAATGCAATTTTGCACTCTGATTTTGCATAGCCACGCTTGGGGTCATGTGAAAACTCACCCTCGCCCATACAAACCACAGCCGGGCACACGGTCAGCAAGGCACTTGTGTATGCACAGTGCAAGTTGTTGTACCTGCTGATACTGGGATATGAAAAGCTGCACAGGCAAGAAGGAAACGTGCCCGATTCCCTCTGCAGTTTCAGGAATGAATTCAGGAGCAGCCTCTAAAAGTCCAATCAGCTCATTCCCCACCCAAAAGTGTAATCCTGCATTAGTGGCATCATAATTTCCATAGCAAACATTCCCGACAGAGCAATGCCTTCAGGTGGAGAATGAGTAAATAGGCTCTGAAGGTCAAGGATCCTGGAAGTTTTCATTCTAACATCCCTAGAAGCAAAAAAAAAATGATCCAGGACAAAAGATGGAAAATGTGACAGGCAGAGTTGTCTCTACACATGAAGTATTTTCCATGAGTCATGAGTGGGTTTTCCTGAGCATAGTAAGAGCAGATCACTCAGCAGACAACTGCTCCTTCACTGTCATGCACAGACCAGCTCAGGGCAGGTCTACGTAAAAACTTGCATTGGTGCAGGTGCCCCCATGCAGCTGCACCACTGTAGCGATTCTGGTGAAGACTCTCTAATTTGACGGGAGAGCGTGCTCACGTCGGCATAACAACTCCACCGCCGGGCTGTCTACACAGCACGTTATGGTCGGTGTAACGACGTCGCTCGGGGTGGGATTTTTCACACCCAAGAGATGTTGTTATCCCAAAGTGAGTGTGTGGTGTAGACCTGGCCCTGGCCTCATTTATACATCCTTGTTTCCAGTTCTCCTCCCTGCCCTGTTCCTGCTTCACCACACCCTCTGGATCCTCCTCCTCCTTCCTGTCATGCTTCCTCTGGCTTTGGGAGTTCCCTCTCAGCCCAGCTGCTGCAAGGTTGCCATGGTCTCTTCCACACATCCATCCTTCTCCCCCCAGCATTAACTCAGCTATATTCAAAGCACCTGGCCTGCAGGCTCCTCGGGGCAGGGGCCAGCTCTTCATTCTCTTTAGAAAGCACCATACAAACTTATGGCACGAAGTAACCTGCATCGCCTCCCTCTGGCCGAAGAGCCATTTGTGTCCATTGTGCCGTCTTTAAGCCAAGTTCCACGCAGCAAGGACCCTATCCCAGTGTATTCTGTACAGTGTCTCACTTTCTCTTCACGTTGAAAGACACTTAAATGGCTTCTCCGTTTCAAAAGAAAGAATCCCCCCATTCCCCAAACCAAGCCAGGCTCATTCTAGCTGCTCGGAGTGTTTGTAAATCAGAAGTGTTCAGCGTGTGACACTTAGCGTGTTTTCTCATTTTCCTCTTGTAGCTCCTTTCTACGGGGGCCAGGCCAGGGCTGTTTGGTTAACTGTCCTTGGTTCAGTTTTGCTTGGCGAAGCCCACAACCCAGGCATCAGCGATCCAGCCAGCCAGTGCAGGGCACTTGTTTGCACAGGAGTGGTTCCAGTCTGTGTCCACTGTACACCCTTTATGGGGCTTAGAGGTTCCTTAGACCCCCCAACCAAGACATCCAGGATCTGGTCAAAGCACAGCCTTAAACCCAGCCACCCAATGAAAACGCAGTTGGGTGGCAATTCATAGGTGCGATCTGCTGAAATTTCAATACTTGACTCAGGTTGATTTCTATGGTAAACAAGGGATCAATTTGGATGGAAAATGGGTTGGGGGAGTTGAATTTTTCACTCCTCCCCCCCCCCCAACACAGTCAGGGAGAGATCCCCCACGTGCCAGCAGACAAGTTCTGCAGAGAGCCAGGCTGTCCCAGTGCTGTCACACGAGTGCAATTACTGCAGAGAGAGGCCATGGCAGGAAAATGAAACAAACAGTTTTGATTTATTGTTCTCGAAAAGAAACGGAGCATGTTGAAAGAAAGCACAGGAAGTCCTGGGGATAATAAATCCTGCTTAGGAGCAGATAAAGAAAACGTGCTTCAATTCTTGGGGACAGGGCGGGGGTTATTGGGAGGGCGGCCGATTAAAGTTTAGGGAGTCTGTTTTCAGAGCAGTTGTTATAAAGCCACAGTCAGAGCTTCTGCTGCTCCAGTAGCAATTGAAATTTACAAACACGACTCCAGCCAGCATGTGGGTTTGGTCTAATTGAAGGGGAGAAGGAAATATTGCGAGCACCCCCTAAATCAGAAGAACCCAGAGTGGCCTTGGCAACTTGACAGCAGCCCAGAGGCTGCACCTAATTAGCATATATGTTTACATACGAGCAATACACACAACCCTAATATTTGCTTGTACTTGACTCTTCCGAGGCAGATGACTAGAAATTGCTACTTTGCATTCATCAGCAATAAGCCTTCAGCCTCCTCATTTCCCAGAAGTTACAAGGAGAGGGCTAAACAATTGGCAGAGTTCCTAATCTTCGGTTGCTCTTCCTCTCCCATACATTTGCTCTCCACTGAGGCCCTATCTATATTGCAGTTCCTACCATATGGGGGGGGGGGGGCAGAGGGATCTGCTGGGGGACCTTGCCTTGAAAGCAATAAATAATAACCTTTACTGCAGTAGCACTTAGGGGTCCCAGTCCTGGATCAGGGCCCCATGATGCTAGACTTATACTTACAATAAAGAGACAGTCCCTGAAAAAGCTTACAGTCCAGGAACATGAATGGTGCCTCTATGCCACAGCCAAGGGCTTTTGCAGGGTGGACGCATCAAGGTTAACACGTGGCTCAGTCCCAAGGCCAAGCAAAATGGGGGATTAAGGCCCTTCCCCATGCTACACGCCTTTTTGTAACCAATACATGACACTCACCTGACCCAGTTGAAACAAACGTGGCTGAGCTGGGTCTACACAGCAACATTTTCACAACCCAGCCGGGCACCACTGCCTACCACGCTCCCTAACCGTGTTTGCACTGGTGCATCCTGAGCAGCTCTCCCTTAGTACTTCAGTAGGCAGTAGAGTAGATCGCCTGGACGGACGGACGGACACACACCGAGGAGCAGCCCTCACCATTACATGGGCACGTGTAGGAGGGCCCAGTAACGCACCCAGTATTAACACTCTACTCTTTGGCAAACCTATAGCTTGGCTACCGCAGTGCCACGAGGCACACGGGTTTCCTGCCTCAGGGGGAGCAGCATCAAAGGGGAAGCTGGTGCTGGAAATCCTGCACTTCCCCCTTGACCCCATGCACATGGGTGGGAGGGGACAGGAAATGGCTCCCCTCCCCCCCAGCATGCGCCTACGGTGCACCACCTATAGATCTGGCACAGTTTACTCTCTCCCTGTCGCTGTGGGGAGACCAGGAGAACCAGCAACTCAGAGCTCCCTCCTGGGCTGCTCCAGGGGCAGTGCAACCATGCCTGACCCCTTGCTTGGATCTCATGGTAAAACTACGTTCATGCCTCTTGCAAGAAGGGATTCTACTACCAATGAAGAGTCATTCCTAGCATGAGAGAATTTAGCGGGGGGAAGAGCATGGGACCCCATCTTAGTGCTTAAAATGGTAGAGGGATAGGTGGCCAGAAACGTCTCCGAATAACCCAGGGAACGAGGCAAAGAACTTACAGTCGTAGTGAATCAGTCGCTATGGATTTGACCTGTGCACTCCGGCTCCAACCCAGAAAAGTTCTTATACCCCATGGACATCAATAGGGCTTCACATGTGCTTAAAGTTCAGCATGCGCTTACATGCTGTGCTAGACAGGGCCGGAGCACTCAGCACCCCACAGGACTGAATACCCCCAACATCAAAAAGTAACAGAGGTGCTTATGGGTGGGTTTGGGGCAACTTAAAACCTCTTCCAACTAACCAACCAAACAAAAAAGATTGTTTTGCTGTGGGTAGCATCAGCACATACTTGTTTCTGGCTGCATTTCCTGGCAGCTCCAGCGAGGAGTTGGCTACGCACGAATTTGGAAGCCTTGTTAAATCCAAGAGAAGTGAACAAAAAAGGCTAAAACTGTTTTCCGAACAGAGGTCGCTGACAAATCTTTGCTCAACGGTGGCCGGCAAAGGCGAAAAAATAAAATGTTGCTTCCCTCTCCTGCTTCCGTGTGATGTACAAGGGCCGTATTGGAGCTTTAAGAAGCATTCTTGCTGGCTTGCTTGTCACGGTTAGAACGATCAGGTCCTGGGTTCGCTTGCTGTGCTGGAGAAGCTTGGCAAAGCCAAATGGTAGGCGAGCGGTAGCTCAGGTTATATTCTCATAGGCCGTCACTAGCAGAGTCTTCCGAAGATCTTCCTAAGTTCCTTCAGCAAAGAAAGGGAAGCACAGACCTGGGTTTCAAATGGGAAGATGCGAGCACACAGAAAGAGATTGTTTTAAAAACTTTGAAGCCATTTTTATACCAAGTGGAGGCACAGTCAAAGGCAGGAATGAAAGAGGTTTGAGGTTGCTTAAAATCCTGTCTGATGGTATAAGCATTGGAGTTGTAAAAATACAGTCACCTACACCCAGACAAAGTAGGTTAAGGGGTTTGATTCTACTTCTAATCCAGGGGAAAGACCGTTCTGACCATCTCACGAATTTTGCACTCAAGTGTGCGAAGTCTGAGACCCACAGTCCTTTCTATAAAGCCACAGAAAGGCTCAGGCTTGGTGTCAAGGAGGAGAAACTCTTTGTGGCCTGAAGCCTGGTATCTTAATTGACGAGCCAGTGCAGAAATAAAGCCCTCAGTTCACCAGGGTAATTACACAATACAAAACACACAACAAAAGTACCTACATTTTACAGCTTCTCCCTGCAAGGCATGGAAGGCGAACTCCCCACCCCCAGAAAGGCCTTTCCATAGATTCCCCAGTAAACTGGATCCAGATGCCCTGCCCTCCTCCGAGGATTCCTCTGGGTCCAAATGTCCCTTTTTAGTGAAACGCTGGCATAGGGGATTCAAGACCACAAGGGCTCTTCTCTGGGTCCAGAAGGCCTGTGTCAC